TTAGAAGCTGAGGAGAAGCTGTCTCTAAAGGCTTGTACTTAGTATTAGATTCAAAGGACTCTCTCCCAGTGGAAAAATGCTAAGAGTCCATGCCAGCCTCCTGTAATTTTCCTAGTCTTTACAATGCTCAAATAGGAAAGCTTACATGCTGGTAGCCCTGAGAACATCCGAGGAGGGCTTTCTCTACTGCTTTTGCTCTTTTACTTTCAGACATGGTGGTGGCTCCTTCACTGCCTCTCCCTGGGAGTGGGAGATTAAAGGAAACGGGGACCACAAGTGACAGGGAAGTGTGTGGCCATGTCCTTTGAGACTCTGTGTAATGCAGCTAAGAGACATCCAGAGCTTCAGGCAACACGGCAGAGCAAAACCAAACCAAAAAAGAAACCCAAAGAAACAAGACTTCAGACATTGTATGCAAGGGATAAAAATGCATGCTCTCTATAATTAAATGGTATAGGTAAACAATGCATTCTTATTTGGAAGGCACATTTTCCATAGATATTGTGTATCTTCAAGCTTTAGTTCTAAAGAAGCTTTATTCTTTTCCTCCCATTATATTTGACACATGACTTCCATTACTACTTAGTGTAAACATTTTAAGTTGTTTGTGCTTTGTATATAAATATGTGGATAAAGTCATCTGGCACAGAGAGGAGTTTACAGTGACACTCAAATTGAGCTTAGAATTTTCTAGTCTCAGAAATAGAGCTTGAAAGATGTGGTTGAAAGACCGAGAGGGTTTGTTTCCTGTTGTGCATTTAATATTCAATTTGTTGTCAGTTAAGTCCCTGAGGAGTTCAAAGGAGCTTTCTCTTCTCCCTTTTTCACAGAATTCTATTTGCAGGTGGTGGGAGCTAGGTGGAAGTTGCAAGGATGAGTATGAATGCTTTATCAATCCCAAGTGAAATGGAAATCCTGGCTTAGGTGTCATTTCTTAATAACTTTTGGTGTTGAAGTCTCTAGAAGAGACTGTTCCTTCTACTCGCAGGTGTAACTCCAGATGCCCACTCGCCCTCGGAACTTAAATCTGAGTCTGAACTCCAGGGTGTAAGTGTCACCTGCTCTTCTCAGCAGGCACCATCCCACAGGTAACCCATCTGGGCATGAGCTGGCTAGAAGGGACCTTTTCTGGCCCAGTAAACCTGAGAAAGTATTAATACCCCAAAGCCATAGCATCTTCAGCTCACAGGGAACCTAGACATTATCTAGTCCAGCTTGCATCCTGCCCTTCAGTTATGTTCATGATCATCTCTGTGGCCTCGGTTTCCTACCCGTAAAACAGGCAGATTAGCTCTTGAGGGGGCCAGGGAAAACAGTTCTTCCTCTTACCCAAAGAGCAGCTACTACCTTCTGGACAGTGGGTGGGTGTAACACACACGTTTCCTAAGGTGCCCCACACTGCTCTTTTATTTTAGAGAGATGGAGAAACTGAGGTCCAGTGGGGTAAAGAAACTTGCCTCACTTCCTGGAGTATATTAAAGAGATGGGAGTTTATTAACTCTTAATATAGGCTGTTTTCATTATGCATTGTAGATTTTCCAAGTCAAGAGAAAATTTTCAGCCTTGACATGTAATTTTACTTAGGGATATAATAACGATAATAGTAAAGGAAAAGACTTTATAATCATACATATCACAATTTAACTGACTCTTCTACCCCCAACTCCCTTGATAGATCAATGGGTTGCTGATTCTTTAAGTCTATGACTTGAATACTTAGAATCCTATGGAAACAATGAGTGTGTATGTTTCCCGTATTAAGTCATCTGCATAGAAGCAAAAATCTTAAGAATAAATTAATTGGGATTCCCGAACTGATTTTACCATCGAACATGGTTTATATAATAGTTTTATCTCCCCGTTGAGGTGACTTCCCATCTTTCTTAAGATCCCACTAAAAGTATAAAAACTTAAGGAATAAACTCTAACAG